TGGCTGTGGTAACTTAGATGAGACAAAACCAGTGAACCTATAACTGTTGATATCAGGAGGACCAAGGAGCCAGGATCCTACAGGAATTATTGCCGCAGGTTAGAAAGTTCCTATGTGTATGACCCAGGCATTATCCAAAAATCTCTTTCTGAGAGTAGTGAAAGGAAAAGAAAATAACGGTGATTAAAAATAAAATGTGAGAAAAAGACATCACGAACATAATTAAAAATTAAACGTGACAGTGGTAAGCCAAGCTGGAAAATGTTTGAACTCAAAAAGATCCAAAACCAGCATGCATGAGATGTGGAGTAAGCATAGAAAGACCTTCCATCACACACAGTCTAGCAAGACGCCTCACAGCACCAGTGGCCAGCCGTTAAGTCACACAGCACTGCCATTCACGTGAGACAAAGACGGCAAGAACTTCCCAGTACCTGACACTGCACTGGCTGAGCTCTCCATTATTACATCATCCAGCATTAGATCTAGAAGAATGAAAGGGCATTAAATCACCTGAGAGGATGTGTGACAAAGCCTCCGTTCCTTTTTAGCATGTCATTCACCATCACACAAGTTAAGGCAAGCCAAAACTCCACCTGTCTAAAAAGCCTCCCGTACAACACCCCTGCCCCCATGTTTCACCGGGGTTATGCAGAAGCAATGGCCGATTCTACACCAGCAGAAGAAGGGGGGCTTCATAAGAACATAAGAAGTGGCTAACTGACTGCCCATGGGAAACGTACAAGCAGGACATGAAGGCAATGGCACCCATGTGCCCCAGCAACTGGTGTACAGAGACTTCATGTCAAGTTGTGGTCAGATTAAGCTCTTAGGCCTTTAGGAAAGGCCTGTGTTAGGATTTATCTGCCATATGGTGCCCAGATGGCTGAGGTACCTCATCCTCAATATGCCTTTCATTTTAAAAGCTCCAAGGAGGGCATCAAGGGCATTCTAGTAATGATGAGGGTACTAATATTATCAGTTCTATTTAATTAATTATTCTTAATTATACTATTATGAATAAAGCAAATCCAAACACTGAGAGTCCGGAATGGAAAGGCTACTTTCGGCTAGCCTGGGAGCTGACCTAGAATAATGTACAGCCTTCCTTTTCGGTTTTTTTGGGGCAGCAGCAGCCGCAGACCCTCCTGCTACATCAAGATCTGCTTTTAGAGAGCGCCTCCATTTTCAGGCTTCCTGCTACACAACAGTAGGGAGGCCTGTGGGTGTTTTTGTGAGGGTTGTCCTGTTCAAGGCCTAAACAGTTCAGGGAAACATGGAACTGCTTGATCTTTGGATCCTCAGCATAGCAATGAATGGCAAGTGGAACAAGACAGGAAGTTTTCCACCTGGAGATCATGAGGCCATTGGAAGACAGTTTTCTGGCGGTTCCATGTGCACCTCTGGCCTGCCTGGAGTCCACCAGGGGAAAATGCAGCAGCTCCATCTCTATGATCCCCACCTCTGGATGGCAGGCAGGCAGGGTGTTGCTTTCAGCACCTACTGAACACATCTTTGTTCTGGGAACTCTTCCTTGCCAACCAGTCAATATTTTAATATTATCCTTTAATCTGCTTATCTTTCTATTGTTCACTCCAGAATCTGACTAGATATGGAGTATACTATACAAATCCTGTAAATAAAGAAATAATTCATGGTAGAAAACTAAGGGGGGAAAATCCTCTCTTATAAATCAATATCACTTTAAACTTTAGGAATCTGTACGTTACCAGTGAAGTGACCTAGGATAAAAAATAGCACCAGGCAAAGAGAATCCCCCAAATGTTACTGTAAATCACAATTTCCTTGTTAATACAATATTAAAAGAGTCAGCATGGCATGTGGGATATCTTCCATTGGTATTTTCAAAAGAAACTTTCTCAAACCATTCAGTCCAGTGTAGTAACCACAAAAACCATTCATCAATGGGGCTCTGTCAGGACTAGTCTGAACCTGGGCCCAGCCCAGCGCAGCCTAGAGGCTACTTTCATGGCATGTGGGGACATGCTAGATAGTACACTACTTACCCCAGTGTTGTCTCTGTTTCAGAACCCTGAGTAATTAATGGGCTATTTAGAGCTTGTTACTTAAAGAGGTAGGATTTATTTAAAATACCACCTTGCATGCAAATGTGTGTTTATAGAAGTCTCCAAGGATAGCTTCAATTAGAGGGCAATTGAGATAGAAATGTGGCAAAGGAAGGGATGCTTAACGTTTCTTCATCAGCTCCTTTGGTACTCTTCTGTATCAGTGCCTCTGTTCAAACTACTTCTTGGGGTCCCAGATGTATATTTGTGGGAGTTTTGCCACAAAAATGGCAAAACTCGGATGGGCTAGTTGCCCCACAAAAACAGCTAGTACCCCACTCCTCTCAATTGCTTCCCCCCCAGCTCTATCCTCCCAATGCTGTTCAGTAGTCCTGAAGTGGACATCATGACTCTGATGAATGCAACACAAAATTCTGCCTGTAGACCCCTACATAGTCAACATCCTGCTGTGCCAAGCCTGGCACCTGCCATTTTCAAACAGGTTTCTTTTCACAGTGCTCAGTGAAAGATTCACAAGGATACCTGTGAATGCATACAAATGTTGGGTCCATGCAATCAAGCCAACTGAAATTATAAAATTATAAACATTTTTATAATGAATCATTTTCTCAGTAACGGAGCAACCGTTTTGTAAGTCATAAACCATTTCATAAATGTCATTTCATAAACTGCACATGTCCTGATATGATGCCTCTCCATCCCTTGCTGCTCAGACTAACCTTTGCAAGGGACAATTATGATAATGCTTGAGTACATCTCTGCCTGCGACATGGAGACTAAGGCGATACTCCGGGTGCAGTCTCAAAAAGATGGGGGATATTGCCTTTGAGTATGCCTCCGCTACCAAGCAACAAAAATAGTCCAGTAAAGACAGAGAGGCTGATGCTAGAGGGATTCCTAGGTAGCAGGGCAGGTTAAAGCTGGACAACAAACAGCAAACAGGCAGGTTTGGTCTGTGGCAGAAGGAGGGGCAGACCAAGAGCCAATACATGAGGCAGTGAATACGGTCCCAGGGCTGGGGCCCACAGAGGGGCATGGAGGTAGGTAAGCAGGCCCTCAAGAATGCACCAGAGGGGGCAGGCAGGAAACAGCAAGCCATGGTACTGTTTGGTATACAGGCTCTAGCTATGCAAAAGCTCACCCACAACTCTGTAAAAGCCTCCATGGGGGTGTACTTGCTTTGCAACTGTATTTTAAGTGTGATCAGAGCTTATGCCCCTCTAAGAAGGAATGCCTTTTCATGGGTGGCTACAAGCCTAGAGGCCTGAGGGCGGTTCCTGCTGTTACTTGATGAGGGTTCCTCTCTTACAGTGGGAACATGCATTTGAGAAAATTCTATATTGCTTGGGAGAGGAGGTGAGAAACAGCAGCATGTTCCCTTGATGCACTGCAGTCAGTGGGGTTTTGTGCATGTTCTGCTCCTTACAATGCTTATCATGTAAATTGATATCATTGTCATGAAGACATCTGGAGATACCACATCAGTAAGAAGCAAGCCTGTAGGTGCACCTGTAGGTATTGGAAGCACTGTGCAAACAAAATGCCATGGGTTTTGGCCCAGACAGGGAGTATGACCAATTGCTCTAAGACACAGGGATAAACTATTGTAAGTTTATCTTATTTGTGACATCCTTTGCCATATGGATCTGTATACTGAGGGATTGAAAAATCAGTTCTGAAATACCTTAAAAGGCATCTCTAGAGCACCACACAACCTCATGGTTCATCACAGACATCTCTTATTTCAGAAGCCACAATGCCAGTGTTGCTTGGTTTTGAACTTTTGATCTTGCATCCAAACATTTGAGTGGATGAGTTAAAATATACCCTTCAACTTTTGAAAAGCACTTAAGTATGTGATTAAGAGTGATTAGACATGATTCATGCATCTTTTTAAAATCATGGTCTTAAGTTAAATCTGTGGAATGAGGATATAGGGAAGGACCACAGAGATTTTAGTTACCATTAAGACTATTAAGCAACAACATTAACAATGAAAAGAGATTCCTACAGATTTAAGCCCAAAAGGGGTAAAATCACCATGAATGTGATACTGTGAGGACATTGAATGATGAGGGTTACCAGAGTGAGACCATGAATCAGCACATGGGCATGGGGGTGGGGTGGGGTGGGGTGGGAGGAACCAAGCAGAAGAGAAGGCATGCAAGATGGAGGAGAGTTCCTCTGACCTGTGACCTCTGACCTGAGCATTATTTCCAGCTTTTTCAATCAAACAGAAACTGAGGTAAAAAAGACAATGTGTGAAGCTTCTTAGATTTCACAAAAGTCTAGCATGGTTATACAAGGATAAAAATACTCTTCTCAGCAGTCCACCATGTTGGTATGTCTGGACTTACCCCAAATTGGTTAATTTCTGTCTCTGGTTATTTTCTTTTTTAAAGGAAAAAGAATCTGTATTTCTCAAGCAAATGCACTACGTTTTAAAGCATTTCTAAAACAAGGCTGCTTTGTTCTTATTACAACCTTGAATTTATTGCCAGTCAATATGTAAAGTGGCTTAGAAATTGGAGAAGGTGATTTCACTAGGACATTACAAGGCTGTAATAAACCAAATAGTGAAGGTAATTAACAGCAACAGCGCAAAACATGCCTAAGGTTCTTGGCCTGTTCTGGAACTGTTGGTCTTTGCATTTCACACTATTTGGGCAATGCTAAGCTAGCGCAATGGAAAATAAATATTGGAATTATCATGTTTTAAATCACCTAGCATATAAAGTAGTTGCAAATCATGCAGCCATCGCTGTACTTCCATGGCTCTTTGCTTAGCCTCTGCCAGCGCTACATCCTGCATGCAAATTTAATAGCTGGACATGCTTTTGGGAGGAATCTGAGCTTCAGGTGCTAGGCAGGGAGGCATGGGGAGGCTGTCAAAGGTCAAGCAGGACTCAAAGATGTGGAAAGACTACCGACCAGCCATCTGTTTCTCCTTACTCCTTCTCTTTTTCTCCAGCCGCTTTAGCCTCTTCTCCTCTCGCCTCTTGGCTTCCTCTTCCTCCTGGTGCTGACGGCACTTATGGAAATTCTCCACCACAACTCCCACGAACATGTTGAGTACAAAGAAGGCAACAATCAGCAGGAAGGAGATGAAGTAGAGGAGCATCCAAGGGTTATAGTTCATGACCGGCTGCAAAGGAGAGGCAAAAGCTGTTGGAATGGCAGTCCGGCAAGTTTGACATACTGGCACAAAAGGACTGGGATTTTCTTTGTGCATGACACCAAGGCACCCTGAATGTTTCCATTCCCAGTCATTTCCACAGAACAAGCCACATCTATCTGTTGGGCTACTAGCAACTGAGTGTCAAAGACGTACCTGCTGATCCACTCCTACAGCATCCAGTCCATCATACATGATGTCCACCCACCCATCTTTGGAGGCCAAAACAAACAGAGACATTAAGGCCTAGAAAGACAAGAGGAAACAGAGTATTACATTTAGGCTGGAGAAAAAGCATTTTGTGTGTGCAGTGCTACTGTGTTCGCCTGTCTGTTCATGTTTAATTACATTTGTATGTGCTATTTTACCTTGCCAATAATAGTAAGGTGCTTTCATGTCAAAGGTCTCCCACCAGGGAAAAGTTACCAATGTTAGATTCCAGTCCAAGAATGAGGGTTAATTCAAAAAGCAGAGTGCCTGATATATTTTCACCCTCCAGGCATCAACTGCTCACTTCTAATTAGTCCCTGCCAAGCTGCTGGAATATGGATGGTTTCCAGTGGCAGCTGTAAATGAACAGAGACGTTAGGATGTGCTGGCTGAGCACAAGGTGTCCAGCTTCCTAAGACAAGGCTTTTGGCTAGATATAGGTGGGTTGTTGTGTAGGCACCGAGTAATTAAATGTTTCAAAGAAGTGTGCCCACTTCCTTTAGTTCTGAAAGGAATTGTGTAGATGTCTCAAAGCCACGACAGGGACCTTTTAATGTATATGGTCTGATCTAGACAACATGCTATTACCTGGCAATGTCTGTAAGAATGCCTCACAAGTGTTTTGGGGATCAAGCGAATAAAGGAGCAAAGAAGCAGATTACCACTCCATCAATACCTGGCCGAGATTATCAAAATTATACTTGTGCCGGACCCATTTGTAGGTGGCTTCTGCACAGTCAGACTTGTTGGTGATGTTCCTTGTGTCCTCACCTTGGCAGACAAAAAACTTTCCTTTGAATAACTGTGGAAACCAAGAGACGGGCATTGGCACAAATGACCCACACAGAATGCTGGAGCACTGAGAAAGAATTTGAAGACCTGTCCCTGCGTGCTCCCATACTCCACCACCAGAAGTTGGTTAGGTGATTGCTGGAGACAGGGCCTTTTTTGGTCCCCCAGTGATGGACCTCCCTTTCCAAAGAGGCCCAGCTGGTGCTCCTCTAAACACCAGCTCAAAAGGTTTGATCAATCCAGGTTTGTATTTTTTAAAGTAAACAGTGTTTTAAAGCAAACATTACAGTATATGTTTATTACATCACATTTATATCCCACCTTTTTATCTCGTGTGAGGAACCAAAGGCAAGTTTCATAGCTTCATTTCATCCTCACAACAACCACCCTGTGAAGTTAGGCTGAGAGTCAGTGACTGGCCCAAGACCATTCAGTGAGCTCCACAGCTGAGTGGGGACTGGACCCCGGATCTCCCAGGTCACCAGTCCAACACTCCAGGTACCACACCACATTGGCTCTCCTGTCATCTTGCTTCTTTTAACTTACATGGGTTTTCTTTTTATTGGTTAACTTACACTGATTTTCCTGCAGTTTTGGAATTCGTGTCTTTTGTTAGGTCATAAATGTTTTATTTTGTTGTGAGCCACCTTTTCAATTCATTGTATTGAACGGTGGACATAAAACACAGGAGGTCTTGCATGGTCCTTGCATGCAACGTGCCGGAGGTGCCAAAAAGGGCAACCAAAATGATCAAGCGTCTGTGGCATTTCCTCTTTGAAGAAAACTGCCATGCTTGGGGATGGGAGTTAAGCTTAGAAAATGGGCAAGGAAGCAGGGTGGAAGAAGAGACACAATGGAAGTTCATGGAATTCTGCATGATGTAGAGAAAGGGATGAGGAAGAGTTTCCGTCCCTGTCTTACAAGAGTCAAACTCAGGGTGTTGCATGGGAGATTCAGGACGGGCAACAGGAAGTACTTCTTTACACAGCCCATAACTTATCAGTGGATTTCATTTCCACATGAAGCTACCAGCTCAGGGCACCAGGCTGTAGGACAGGCAGAAAAAAGTCCTTCAGTGACTACTAGTCGAAATAGCCAGATGCTACCTCTAGCAAAAGGGGCAGTATGTCTCCAAATCGCTACGGCTGGAAAGCAACACCAGGACATGCTCATGATATAGAAAGCCCTGTCTAGAAGTGGCATGGGGGGAAAGGACTGTGATGCCAAAGGCCTGCCTGTCATTTCATGCACACTGGCCAGGGTGGCCAGATTTAATAAGGAACAAGGCTCCCATATCGGTGCAAGCTGCTCCAGAAGGGAGACTTCTGAAAGGGGCAGCCTCTCCCGCGTGTGCTGCTGCACCTGCTGAAATTCTGCTGCGCACAAACTGTTAACACACGCACATCACACAGTATTGAATCTGGTAATCCCGTGGCAGTGACTTCAACAGTGTCAAATATGATTACCCGCAGGGTAAAAGGTATCAGGACCCCAGATGATTAATGTTGTCACTTTCTCAGTGGCAAACAGGAAGTGGCAGAGCGTGACAGCTGTTATGATGGATGTCAGTGTAGTGGTCCGTAGCAGGCGAGGGTGGGATGACTGCACTATTTCATGGAGTGACAGAAGATATCGGCATGACCGTGCCTGGCTGCCCTGGGGCAGTCTGCGTTCCCACGGGGCTCCTCAAACTTCACCTCTTTACTTGAACTCAAAAGGAGACGCTAACCCTTTAAGGCTCCGCTTGAGGAAGCCAAGCGACAGGGTAATTGCAAACGCCCATCTCAGGCAAGGGGTCATCAAAGGATTTTACCCAAGAGGACCGCACTCGCGGGGTGGGGGTGGCACATCAAAAGCACAGTCCCGGAGGCACCTCATGGAATGATTTCCACCAGTGTAACACTTGTTTGTTGGCTTGCAAGGACCAGGCATGAAGGAATCAAGTTTTTTTCTATCTTCTGCCTGCCATCACTGTTTTCCCTTCACCTCAGTGTCCATGACACATACTTTACTATTGTCTACAGCAGTTGAGGCAAGTACTGGACACTGTAAGCAACACAGAAGGAACGAGATCCAAACACAGATTGGAAAAAGACCAATGATGATAAATGGTTTCTCTGCCTCGGAAGTGGGAGACAATTGTGATAAATGAAAAGCTTTGAGCACTGAAAATTGAGCAGTTTTAAAGTTACAGGGATGTAATATTTATTTAATTATTTTTTTCTATACCATCTTGCATTTTCAAAAAACCCTAATAGATATGTCAATGTACATGTTAGTGCATTTCTCTAAAACAGGAGCAGAAAACTGCATATTATCAAGCCACTGTGAACTTAGGATTTAAAACAGAACACAAGGTGACAGTGGCATCATCATCACCATCACCATCATCTTAGAATGCTTGAGGTGGTGGCTTCCACCCCAAGTCTAGGTTGCAGGGAATTCTTGTTTGCATCATACTGGTTAGTGACCTCATATTTTTCCTCTTTCAGAGGGTAAAATGCCTTTTCCCCCACCATAAGGGCTGCTTCACATGTTCACAGGTCATGCAGCAGTAAATATATATTTACCACCATGCATGCGATGAGACATCCAACCACCCTTGGCCCCAGGATGAACACAGCTCTGCAACGCTGAAAACAGACATTTGCTAGATTAACACATTACAGTTGTACTGATATAATCAAGGGTGTTTATTAATTTCATTGGATGCCTGTACTGCCCATTACATTTGTATGCATATTTTCCATGCAGGTACAAAAATGCAATGTGTGAAGCTGCTCTGAAACACATGGACTTTTGGGGTCATTTATCCTGTTAGAGTCTCCTGTTTGTAAGGGTCTCTATGAACATTCCCAATGATGTGTGGTCAAGGTTAGCGTACTGACCCTCTGGCCCTTTCTATTTTCCATGAAACCTGCACAGAGCCTACCTGAACTCCCAGGATGCCAAAAATGATGAAGAAGGCGCAGCAGATGACAACAATGTTCCCAATGGGTTTTAGGGATGACATCAAGGTCTCCACCACCAGTTTCAGCCCTTGTGCTCGGCTAATGACCCTGAAAAGCAAAGGGACCACATAAAATTATATCCTAACCATCTAACTTCTCATGTTGAAAGGGGCTGCAACGAAAAGGCAATTTGAAAAGGCTACCAGTCCAAATAGAAGGACCTGCAAGAAATCATCAAAGAAAAGACAAAATGGGGCTGGAAACGCTCATTTGGGAGAGCATGGACACGCACCTGCTCAGTGCAATAGAGCTGAACAAGACAAGAATTACAGATCTCGGTGCTCGGTGCTCTTAGACAACATATTTATCCCACAGTGATAACAACCACAACAGAGTAATGTAGCATCTGTACAGCACTATCATTTTGCAATGACTCTAAATTATAGCATTTCTTCTTAAAATATCTGTTCATTTTCAGCATGCTTTCTTTCACACTGTTGTTCTAAAAGCCCAGCTTTGTGGGATTGTAAGCACCCCACCAAAAGACTGTAGAGCAGTTTTTCATGACCTGGCCCTCTCCAGATGTATGTTAGACTACAACTCCTATCAATTCCAGTCAACATGACCAGGGATGTTGGGTCATGCATTTAGAGGGCACCACGTTGGGGAAGGATAGTACAGATAACCAAGACCATAACCATAAAGAAAGATATCTAGTTGATTCTGGATTAGACCTGATGCATCTCTACCACTATAAATCACTTTCATGATCACCTAACTATTCTACTGCCATAAAAAGTAGCATTCTGGAGCAACTGACCACTTAGGTTTCCCAAGGATTTCCCTGCATGAATTTCCAACAAAAAATGTTTTCAAGCAGCAGTTCTTTTAGCTCCAATTTGAATGAGAGAAGTGCATGGCAAAATCCTATGCATGTGTAGGGACCAAAAGTCCTACAGGCAGCTCCCTCCCATGCTGGCCGGAGAATGATGGGAATTGTAGGAATTTTTACATCTAAACATACAGAGTTTCACCCTCAGTGCACTGTAGTAGAGAAAGGTCATAACTTGCAGACATTTCTGAAAGATATAGGCAACTTCCCAGAATTTGGAAGACACTGACTTTCTCATTTACCAAATACCTGAATAAACTTGCCTATAGACATGTTAAACAGTGCAATCCAGTTTCTATCAAGAGCTATGACTAAAATTTATATTCTTCCCCCTGTGGCTCCAGATACTCCCAACGTCCAGCAAAAGTCCAGGTTTTGTAGAAGCAGAAAAACACTGTATTACAGAGTGATGCATGTGAAGGACACCAGCCTAGCAAATTTGCAGTTCAGATAGTGGATGTATGACTTAGATATGTCTCATTTCATGTGTGTGCATGTGCGTTCTTCCTGCTCAGTTAAAAGAAAAAAGAACACAGTGGTAGCCTCAGTACTGCTTCCACGTTCAAGCCATATTGCTTGAGCAACCTCATGGATAATACTCTCAGCTCCTGTAAACTTGACTTTGGCACCATATCATGCAGCATCATTCATCAGCATAGTCCCTTCTGCCCCTTAGACAATGCTTTGCTTCTGCCAAGGGTTGGAATGGATGACTTTAATCTAACTCAGTGTCACTTCTGGCATTATTTCCTGATTGTGGTTTCTGAGCATTGCTGCCCAATAGATGGAAACCTCTTTCCCTTAGGTTGATGTTTCTCTATATTTAAGGGAAATAATCTCAGATCTCTGGTCAGAGTTGAAGTGAATATAAGTTTTTTGCTTTCAATTTTGTCATCATTTGCATCCTCAAAAACATTTACTTGCATTTCTGCTGATCCTACTAGAAAGGTTTTCTTAATTTAACTGGCCTCATTTGCTTTATTTCTTGGAGCTCTATGGCATGCCACAGTATCACTCAAGCATGTGGCAGCTATTGTCAAATCAGATTTACATTTTCCCTATCATTTATTAATTGTGCTGGGTTCATTTTGCTCCTTATCTGCTTCATTAAGCACTCTTTGGACAAATGTCCACTGGAAGTTTCCTAGATCAAGCATATCTATCTATCTATCTATCTATCTATCTATCTATCTATCTATCTGAGCAATGACTCACTCCATTTTTATCAGCATGACTATGAATACCCTTAGAGTTCAGTATTATTCAGGAAGAGCCTTCTTTTTCTAATAAATAGAATCAGTTACATGTTATCAAGAATTATATTACTGGAAAATAACAGAAGCAGCCTGTGTTTTGAATGTGTGTCTGTATGTATCACGCTGAGCTATTTATGCATAAAAAACAGGATTAGGAGGGATTCAATGCACGGTCGGCTTCAGGATGTTCAGGAACGCTGCCTAAGGCACCATTAGTGAACCCTCCTAGACACCAAGCTTGGTCGTGCAAAGTGGGAGAACACTTCAGAATTTTCTGCTTGGATTATAGCAGAAAGCACGCCCCCTGCACACACACATGTCTTGTTCATATGACTATAATGTTGGTAATTCTCTTCAAGCTCTCCAACCGAGCCTGGATACTGGTTCATCTAGCTGTGTCTGGAGAGAGCTTGGACATCAAGGGAGAACATAGTTCAATATGATGCAAGTGAGCTGCAATGAGTCTTGGGCTCACGTGTTCCCTGCCTCTCTTCTCATCTGGCAGAGCTGTAAGGTTCAGCGGCATTCACTTCTATCTTTGCTTAACTTCAGCTTGCCTTATGGCATCAACTGACACACTATGGCTAATGTTAACTGTGGTTTGTATGAAACAAGCCAGCTCAAATTCATGGTTGTTTTGAACAACCTTAGTTAACAGTATGACAAAAACAAAAAACAAAAACGAAAAAGGCGAGTAAAGGGAGACTTTGCTTAAAATTATGCAAAGTGTGGAGAAAGTGGAGTGGAAGACTATTTCCCCCTCTCCCATAACAGTAAAATCTGGGGTCATCCTATGAAGCTGAGATTTAGCGGGGAGATTTAAGACAGATAAAATGAACTAAAAGACAAAACTGGGGCAACTGTTGCCAATTGCAGCACCCCAAAGGTGATTGGCCAGGGGAAGGCCACATAGTAAAAACACCACAGTTATACTGTCCCAGAAGGGAGGACAGATAAGAACAAAATGAACTTTGTGTAACCCACAGCTAACACGCTAGCCTGACCTCGAATACAGTAATCAAAGGGACAGTGGACACTGGTTCTAGCCACCATGAAAGTTGCAGATGTGCAGGGAGTAAGAACATGGCAAGCCTGTGTGAATCTCGAGCAGATAAGAAATAGACATGGGAAATGTCTGGTCCTTGACAGAAGAAAGGACTCTTTCTTCAGCATGGGAAGGGGTGCATATATTGATGTATTAGATGTGTATTAGGTGACCTAATTGGTTACCTAGGGTATAAAACGCATGTACTGGGGTGCAACTTTTGAGACTGCTTTGGGCTGAACGTCCCCTTTTGTCTCCCTTTATTCTATAGTGCACTAGAATAAAGCTGGTTTTGGCTCTAAGTCTTGTCTCGGACTCCTTTTGGTTCGGGACTGGGGTCCACCTGGGTTTGCCCTAGCTGTTGACTGGCTGAGTTTGGTAACAATTCTGTAGATACATCATGAGAAGGCAAGACTCACTGGAGAAGACAATCACAGGGAGAGGCAAAGGTAGAAGACCAGATATGAGATGGATCAACTCCGCAAAGGAAGCCACAGCCTTGAATTTGGAACGGCTGAATGAAGTTTCATGGATAGGGCTTTTTGGAGGGCTTTCATTCATAGGGTAGCCGTATGTTGAAGACAACTTGATGGCACATAACAACAAAAGAGTTGAACTATGGAATTCCCTGGCACAGGAAGTAGTGATGGCCACTGATTTACATGGCTTTAAAATGGAATTGGACAAATTCACAGAGAAGGAAACAGTCAGTGACTCCCAGCCCTGCTAGTACCTCCTTTACTGGAGGCAGCATGCCCGCATACTCCAATTACTGAGGGGCTTGGGCTGGAGGAGGTCTTGCACCCACCCTGCTTGAGGGAACCTTTGGCAGTTTGTTTGCCAAAGTGCTAGACTAGATAGGCCTTCAGGGTGATCCAGCATGGCTCGTCTTGTGTTCTTATGTAACTGGAAGTGAAAGCTTCTGTGCTGTGCCTCTGCCACACCAGAGGAGGAAGAGGAAGGGTGGAGTGTGCAAACCTGAGTGTGCAGCTTGTTCACATGACTGCATGCTAAATGAGGGCCATTGACTACACTGAATGGCACTGGCTCTGTGCAGTTGTAGGCAGAGGCTTTTGCATCACCTGTGATGTTTTACATTGGACGTGCCACAGAGTGGGTCTGGGACCCTCTTCATGCAAATCATAAAGACTCGCACAACTCTAAGCTTGATACAGTACACTATCACAATTTTAGAGTCACCTCTGCCTCCAGACAGAGCTCTGTATAGCCTGAAGTGTCCGATCCTGTCTAGTCTTGGAAGCTAAGTAGCATCTGGCCTAGTTAGAAGCTGGATGGGTGACCTGTGTGTATGATTCTATTATCGTTGCAAACCACCCAGAGAGCTTTGGCTACAGGTGGTATAGAAATGTAATAATAACAGTAACCTTCCACACCTCTGTGGGCCAGCTAAGAGCCAACTTGCCAGCTCCCCCAGTTTCTACGTGGACGAGTGCGGCTGAGTTCTGGTTCTTACAGACACATCAAAAAGGGATTTTTGAACTCTTTCCAACATTACAGCACTCTCCCCCCTGCACCATCATATGGTTGCATAGAACTGACTGAGCCCTGCCTTCACAACCGTTGTTCTTCCATACCGTTTTCAACTCTCCTCTAACTCAAGAAGCCTTGATCAGGCGTTTCAGCACTAGCACACTTATTAACAACCCTCAGCCATACAGCATCACTCTTGAATACAGCACCAAATTTAATAACTGTGAATTAGAGTCTACTGCTGCAGTTGCCAACAGTGAACAAGCAATCGATGGCAGAAGAGAGACACACAGGAAAACAAAGCAGCTAGAATGACTGCGCCACCTTGCCAAGGACAAGGCTTACCAAGGGCACAGGCAAGACAGTAGCTACCCAGAGCCAAGCAAAGCAGGCCTTAAAGAATCGGCCACATCCTCAGAGACAA